AGTTGGACTCGTTACATTTAGGTGTTTGTTAGGGGGTCTAATGTTCCAACAGTAACCATATGCCTGTGATATGCGAAGGCCACACCTGTGATTTTTTTTTTTTGAGTTTACTATACTCTTTACTGCGCAACATCAAACCGCAGAGAGCAGCAAGCATGCTTCTTCAAAGAAAGAAACCACTATCTAGAGGTTTGAACAAGCATCGCTGACATCGTTGATGTCTTTATCTTGGAAGAAAACTGAACTGGTGATGTTCGTATAAGAGCGACATAAAACACCACTTGAAAGTAGGTCATGATATGATGGAATACTTCAGATTTCACTGGTTAGGGACGCCGATCAAGGCCGAACGATGGAAAGAGAAAATGCGCAATTAGTGGTCATACTGGCATTTGAATGTGTTTCCAGTCCAAATACCGGAGTTAAAGGCAAGCCCCGGGATAAACCGGTGATAAGAGCGCTTCGTAGTGATGACTGAGCTGCGGGACGGCCTGAAAGTGGAAAGGAAAGCTAGAGAAATCTTTGGGATCGCTGAAATTAAGGCCTTAACCTTCAAAAAGGTCGGATGTGGAACGATGGCGAGGCAGGGCGGTCAAAGAAGACAAAACACGCGAGAGATCACGCCGATATCGAGGTGGGTGGGAAGCGTTGCAACGGGGGTCGATGGTTGCAGGCCCGTAAGGATTAGCGCCCTAACCGCGCAATTTTTGCGGCGAAGCTGGAGTGATCTAGGTAGGTAGGGACCTTACAATTTCCCTCGCGGTATCCTTCCCACAAGTCGGGCTAATCCCCGGGTTTGCCTTTAAGCCGTTCTCCCGTCAAGAATTACCGGAACGACAAGTTTTGTATAACACTAAAAGATTAATGAACCAGGGAAAAATCGATTTTACAGTGACTAAAATATTAATTGAAATGTCCACTTCGTTTCTAGTCACAAAAATGGCTTAGGTTTCTCTTTTAAATGAAATTCATCGAGAGTTTTGTGAAATTTCGAATAGCTTTCCATGAAGTTCACCTTGTATACTGATGTTCCAAAAAAGCTAGCCTAGTTTGGAAGTTTTGAAGTGCGTTCTCTTTCCAAAAGTGCTCGAGAACCAGGAAGTTCCTCCGATGGCCACCTCTGCTACGACAAACTTGAATTTTCACACTCTATTGAAAATCATGGGGATCATTCACTGTGCAAACGACTGTTCCATTCTCGAAGAACTGCCATTTCTATTCATGATTCCAGCAATTAGAGGACAAGATAAATAGCGTCGAAGTGTCGATAGAGCGGCAAAAAGCGTCACTGTTTCTGCATACTGTTTCGTTCTCAAAGTCTAGTGTCTGTCAAGGTCTCGTCTTAGAGGAACAAATGAAAAGAAGAACAAGTTGTCAGCCAACGGATGAACTCAGGATAGTACTTACTAAAGAGCTGCTTCAGAAAATCCTTCAACAATTTCATTGGGAACAGTGAAGTATTGCACATTCTGCGAGCTAATAAGCAAGAATTTTGCGTTCGAAAATGAACAAAGTTGTAGTAACCTTCTGTTTCCGGAAACCAGATGCACGTCGAGTGCAGACCACACACCACAACTGACGACGGCCTCCAAGAAAACCTGGTTCATAGTGGTAGCTGATAGTTGGTAAATGATAGTTGTAATTAGTGACAACTGATAGAATACAACTGCAACAGGCTAATCACTTCATTGGCAGAAAACATTTACATTTTGTGGAGGCCGTCGTCACTTGTGGTGTACGGTCTGCACCTCGACGCTCCATATCTGATTGGATGAGGGTTTTGGCCATGCGGTCATGAAAGAATCGACAAAAGTCGTTAGATTTCAAGTTTCGCCATTATGCACGTTGGGGTCGTCTGATGGACCCACAAATCCTTCGACCATCCTTAAACGGTGTTTTTTTGGTATTTTGATTGGGCTCACTCACTGAGTCCTTTTCCCTCCCAGGCCTTAGTTCCAGGGCTCTCACGGTTCCTCTGTAGCGATTTGCTAAGCTTAACGCGGAACGCCGTTCTCAAACGGCTGGCTCTGGATTCGGGGAGGACATAAAAGGAGTCAACTAGTTCATAGCCACTGCGCGCCGCCCTTGCAGGGATCTTATTGGTTGGGTTAAACTTTTTGCCACATATGACCAGAACGGAGGACCGACTAACCAACGAGACGAATGGGGGGGGGGGGGGCGAACTCGGCCCGTGCGATTGATTCCAAGGGTTTTCAGCAATTTTTTTTACCTCTCTTTCGGTTGCTGCTGAGCCTACCAGCACAAATACTTTCATTTTCGAATGCAGCGATCTATAGTTATTCTCACCTTTAAAACGTGTTGTGTCTTTCGGTGACCTGGAGACCCACTGATGTTCAGTAATTTTCTTTATAGATAAAGAGTTTCGATGTGTACGGCAGGATCGGACGAGCTGTATGGCTAACTCCATTTATATGCACTTGCCTGTGCTTCTATAGGCATTCAAGCAAAATCAGCTTGACATATGATTGGCCGATCTCTGCAATAAGCCGGAGGCAGGGTAGGAGGGTAGCAGAAGCACAGAGAGTTTATTGTGTTGTTTTTTTCTGTTGTTCATTCAGGTAGGTGGAGGTCAAAAGAACCAGGGTAGTCAACCTGTCAAGAAAATGTTGTCCACCACCATAACGCCTCCCAGTATGCGATCCTCATTCAACCCAACTCTCCACTTTTTAATGACACATGGTGTAAAAGCGTCCTTGTAATAGTTCTACATGATAAATTTGTACCTCTGCTCTCAATGATCGTTGAAATTGGTGTCGGGCGGGGCTTCATATACTTCATCCCCCTCTCCTTTTCACCTATCACCCGATCGTTTTCATCTACGAACTCCCAAAATCGAATCACAAACCCAGGTGTCAGCTGCCAAATCACATACATATTCTCTGTCTCAAAGACGTACTGGTACTTGAATGAGGTTGAAAGAAAGGTTTCCTTGGTCATATTGAGTTGGGAATCGACCCGATTTGATGTCAATAAAGTATTCGTCTTACTGTAATAAATGTGGAGGTATTCTGGAATGCGAAATTCGGGGCATATTATGTTCAATGGTACCAGCAAAGCAAGGAGTAAATGGTCAGGAATTGCTTGGCAAACACATGGCATTTTTCGCATCGCAACCTGTCTACCTAGTCTTTGCAACAGAACTGACATGGATAATGATCATTTGAATGATAAATGATTCAAATAACTTCGGAGTGCATGTCGTGGAAAGCAATTGTACCGTTCAAAAGAAGCGGTTTCTCCAATTCAAATGTGACAAGTGGAACGAAATTGAGAGCCAAATCAGCTAATCACAGTAGTCTGCGCACAGAACAGAATCAATATCTCTGAGGCCTGTCTGGTCTTTTTTGCCATTGGTCAGCTCGATTCGTTTCGGTTAAAAAACTTCCGTTTGGGCATTTTGGTTACATCGGGTAAACCCACTACCCAAAGTGGTACTATCGTTAGGGTTAGCAATAGAACTGTTTGAGCTTCGCGGGATTTCGGAAAATACAGTCGCCCTTCTTCCCACGCTTGCTTTGTAATCACGGCCAAAATGATACAGACTTCATTCGGCCAACGTTTCGGCTGGTCGCCTTCGTCAGAGCCTGGAAAATCAAACTTTGGGGCGATCACCCCCTCCCCCTCCGAGACCTCATTTCACACAATCCCCATAGACTTCATAGAAGCATCCAGGGAAGCGTTGTAGATCACAAGCAGCAGACGGCTCACCTTAGGACTGTACGGTAGGGCGCTG